CCAAAAGTTTTTTTCTGCATTCATCTGAGGTATCATGTATTAGTTGCTATCTTTTCACCCGATGTACACCACCAACCGCCGAAAACCTCGGGTAGATCCAAAAAAGTGTTAGGGTGTGGTAAGCCTTACAGCAGTATTGATTATATAGTTTTCGCACTATATATTTCGAAGCAATTTAGTAATTGTCTGAGCAACCAAGTGGGTGCAGGATTGACGAGACCAGCATCCGGTAACCTGAGCATATAATAGAGAGACTGAGGGTACATTGACAACCAGGGCTGTTGTCCACATCACGTTGCCATGTTCTTATAATATTTCAAACATACATCCCAGAAACATCTCATGCCACGGCTCGAACAGATATCAAGTTCAGTATGTTCAGTGTAGGTTTAATTGATACCTCAGCCAGATATCACGCTTCATAGGTTTAGAGCACCCGCTCGATAGGTAGGTGTCATACCATCATCGCATACCACAATCATGTTGTTAATATGTAATTGGACAGTGAAAGCATGAAATGAAGCCATGAAACGTTTGTATTGCTGGTGTACTATTAGATACAAGCAAAATTAATGCATACTAAATGAGCGATACTAAATGAGCGATATGTGTCCAGTAAGCACTACCAGAAAGCGAGAACGAGTGGAAACGAGTGAGCCGTTGAAAAATTTAAATTTCCCATAAGAGCTTGTTCTGGATGGTAGTCTGCCACTGGGGACTAGTGGTGCTGAGGAGCTTCGGAACGACTCTCTTTCCAGGAAATTCAGTGAGATCTAGTTGAAAATATTCCACAAGGATGCTTTGTAACAATCAGCGAGGAGGAGGAAGGCAAATTAATGGGAAACATACTCGTGAAATGTGTGTTCGTATGTCAGAGAACCGTTTGGTCCCTGCTCACTGACCTGGGTCTTTGCTAGCTTGCAAATGCCATCGAGAGAGTCATCTACAAATTTCCAGAACTTGGATGAAGAGTAAACGGCATGGCGTCCTTTGCCTTTGAATCCTGAGCTTCCCTCACTGACAGCTGGTAGATCTTCTTCATCCTGGTACTCGTCCTCTGCTCCTTCATCCCTGGCATTCTTGTCCTCATCATCTTGATGGCTGCTACCATTGCCACTATTGTCAGTATTCTCTGTATCATGCATTGGCTGATCTTCATCTAAGTAGCCTTCGATGTCAGCAGCAGGAGCATCAGGCTCAATGTCTTGATTGATGTTGCCATGCATCCCGCGTTCGATAGCATCAATATCAATTCCAAGTTTCTGGTTGATTTTGACATGGAAGTCTTTGTGAAGTGACAAAATGAGTGAGTTGGAAAAAAGAGCGTTGAGGGGTACAGTCTTGTAGTCGTCCACACCGATAAGGAAAATGCGCAAGCAGCGCCGCTAGACTACATGGTATGAACCTCCTGTTGTCAAATAGAGCAAGGGCATACCAAAAATGTGAACCTATTCCAGTGCATGGAATTGACCTCAATGCCACAGTGATGAGCGAGAGATTTTGTGGTCTCCATGATGCTCAATCGTTTGAAAATTGATGTTGTCAGCTAAGCAAGTGTATATCATAAAGTGTTTGCATAGCAGTAGCAAAACTTGATGAACCTCAGCCTTTATGTTGCCGTGGATTGAGCAAAGCAAGTCACTGACCAGTTTCAACAGTTGCGCATTAAGTTCCGCATCTTCTAACATTGCCGCAGGGATTTTGAATACATTGTGGTGCTCCCTGATGAAGTCCTGTTGAGTTTCAGCATTCAACTAATACAGCGATCAACTTAGAGAATACCATGATGTGACAATGCGCATCAGTGACATATGCAGTGATATTGGGTGACAGCATGCACGCAGTGAGACGGTTCTGGATTCCAGACTGCGTTTTGTTTGATCAGTGTATACTGCCAAACTTTGGGGATAGATACAGTATACCTTGAAGTCCTTAGAATCTAGCAGTTCTTTCAACTGAGCGAGCTCCATGTTCTGGGTATCATCATTCCGCCTCAACAAGGTGGCCTTGATGTCAATGAGCATGTAGTATATCCCTCTGGTCTGCAGGCAGGTAGCTGTATCAAAGAGTTGTGAAGCACTAAAGGAAAACTTACGTCAATAAATTCATGAAGTTCCTCCTCCGAGATACCTAAGTCTCCAGCGACCTTCAATGCATAAACTTTCAGTCTCTTTGTGTGCACAGGTGTAAGGACAGTTGGGTCGCCACGACTAGGACTTGAATTAGCTTGGTGGCAGCGTACACCTGCAATAATAGGTTTGTCGAGTGATTCATCAGACATTGCAGATTGTAAATTGTCATGAGGGCGAGATGCACTAACAGCAGTCTGTGACTGAGAACCTGTACCATTGCTGGGTGATCTAGATGTGTGGGCAAGTCCTAATGGTGAGCGTGCACGTCCTATACTGCCTGCTCTTGCAGAAGGAGGTTGAGATCCACTATGAGCACTTTGAATGGAAGCTGAACGATTCCTGCCTCTGAGACCTCTGGCAGCATACGGCGTTAATAGACCAAGACTTGTTGGGCCTTTGGTCTGTGGAGCGCCTTGAGTGCACACAGGAAAGCACTGGAGTAACATCCTGAAAGCCGAGTAAAGGGCGAATGTGAGAGAATGAGTCTGGCTCTGAGACCTGAGTGGGTGTTCTGCATGAACACCAACAGAAAACAAAGCTTATTAAGGACGCACTTAAGCGCTAAGCATTCGCGTGTTTCACATGAGGCTTGATTTGGATCACAAAAATGCATTGAATGGGAGCACGTAAATTAAAGACTGTATGCTATATGTAAAGTAGAGGTCTTATTTGAACGTGTCATCGCTGTGTGTGAGGAATGATAGCTAGATGAGAAGGGGTGAAAGGGGGAGAAAGGGTGAAGTGGGGTAAAACTCAAATAGACCTCTGGACACGAGTATAGATTTGGCCCAAGGGGATTGCTACTGAGAACGATTCCTCTAAGTAAAAATATGGAGGGGAAACTTTGAACTGGTAAGAGTAACTGAAAATGGAAGAGCGCGCGATGTTGCGCTTGAAGCGATGCGAGCGCGAGTGAGCTGCCGAAGGTGCGATATGATGTGCGACCGAACAGCCGAAAGTTTGACGGAGTGCGGAGACGCGGAGAAAAGCCGACAGTTTATATGAATGCGCGACTAGCGGATATGCGAAGGAGATGCGACGTGACGATAGTGAGGGAAGAGAGCTCTGACTATAGATGCGATGAGCGATGTGTGGACGATAGCGTGACCGTTAATACAGCGTGCGACGTAGTCGGCCGAAGGTTTCTGACTTAGAGTCTGAGTGATGCGTGCAAACAGATGATAATTTCGATAGCGGGAAAAGAAGATACATGAAAAATCCTAAGTCTAAGGTATATATGATAGCGTGCTGTAGGAACTGATTCTTGGCTAGGCTTGTAGAGACTGTTTTTACCTTAGTGTTATGTTTGCACTTTTGTAGCTTACATAATCAAGTTATCTTTTCACCAGTTACCAGTATGAGTTTGAGTACTCAGCAAGTTTCTATCATATTTCCTCTCCTCTGAGCCTTGAGCCTGGTCCAGAAACCCTTTAGGGTTGAATAGCAGCTAGGTTCTGCAAGACCCAACACATTGTTCAGTATACACCATCTGAATTGTTGTACCCACAGCGCGTAGCGCTGTTCGGAACCGAGAAGATAACAGTAATACGTATTAAGGGTCTATAACGCAAGTAACGAGACATACGCGATATCACCTTTGGAAATATAATCAGTCTAATGCAAATGAGATAAAATACGCACCAATGGACCAGTGGAGGACATGGATAGGATGGAGGAAGGTCACGCGATGGAACCGACGAAAAGCGGATGCGAACCGAAGCGCGTGCGTGAGCTGCGGCCATCGGCCAACAATAGGAAGGATGCGTGCCGTGGTAGTGATAGCGCGCGCTGCGCTAGGACCTGAGGGACACTGCAAAAATAGCCTCTACGAGGCTACAAGGACTACAAGTCCTACATCGTGAAGCGTGATTCATGTCGGAACTGCGCTGTGTGCGAGGAATGATAGCTAGATGAGAAGGGGTGAAATGGGAAGAAAGGGGGAAGTGGGGTAAAAACTCAAATAGACCTCTGGACGCGAGTATAGATTCGGCACGAGTGGATTGCTACTGAGAATGATTCCTCTAGGTAAAAGTGTGAGGGGAAATGTAGAAACTAATAAGGGTAACTGAGACTAAAAGAATACGTGAAAGCCGAAAGCCGAAGCTGATGTGATGCGAGCACGAGCGAGCTGCCAAAAATGCAATGTGATATATGCTTAGATGAAGCGCCAATAAGACGTGATGCAATGCAATGCAATGCGAGCACGAGCGGCCGCGATGTGACAAAACGCGAAAACGCGCTGTTTAGTCGAAGGTGAGTTGCGAGGAGGTATTGAAGATGCGAGGGCGGAGCCGAGCGATGATGAGCGCCAAGAGTGTTGGATATTATAGATATGTGAGCGCAAGGCAATTGCCGCCGATAGGAGTGCGCGTGCGGGAGAGTACCGAAGATTTTAGACTTTTAGTCAAGGCTTATAACTTTGCGTGTAAACAGGTGATAAATTCTGATGGGAGAGAGAAGTACATGAAAATTCTAAGTATCCGATATATGTATGTGTGCATAAGCGATATTCAGAGCCGAGTAGGTAGCAAGATGTATGTAAGTAGGGTCCATGATACATTCAATAAAAATATCATTGGAATAGCTTGGGAATTGTTGTTAGTCTAGTGGGAATTTAAGTAATATACGCACCAATGAACCAGCGGAGGATATGGATAGGATGGACAGAGGACATGCGACGGATCCGAAGAGAAGCCGACGATAGCCGAAACGCGCGCACGAGCCGCGCCGAATGTGGAGAACAATAGTGGACCGCTGGTTTGTGGGATGTGAACCGTGGGAACTGTGGCCAATTTGATGTATTAAAACGCGTCGCATGTTGCACTTCTTCTTCTTCATCTATACCATCTTCTTTCCTCTTTTAATACCATGCTTCCTTTCAATCCATCGATGCTCGCCGCTACTCCCGAGCCTGAGACGCCGCCATCGCCATCTGGCAACCAACAAACTGCAGACGCTCCTCCTGCAGAGCGATCGCTGGCCGATTGTGTCAATGACGCGTGGCGTGGCATTTGTGAGTCGATGCGCGTGTGTGTACTGACGATCCTGGATGCGAAACCAGAGCTCCTTGAGGAGCAAGAGACTTGGATGCGGCAGTGGAACACTAGCCTAGTGAATACCTCTATCACTTGTTTCGAGCTCGCCAGATGCTGATCAATATACTTAGGAACAATTGAATGATTGCTACACTTGCGCGCAGGTCATCCAACTGGAACTGTTGCTGAGCGATGAAGATTTGGCCGCGCTCGCCGAAGGGAAGAAAGGTTGCCGTGCACTGGAGAAGTTGGTGAAGGGGTGGAAGGCGAAGGCGGTTGAACCGGTGTGCGAGAAGTCGGCGGTACCTCCTTCCGCAGTTGTAGAAGGGAGTGGCGCAGCACCTGCCCCAACTACTCGCCAGACAGAAGTTATGGATATGGGTAAGCCGGTGAGTGATCTTTTCTCTTTTTCTTATTTTGAATAGCGACTGATACCATGTTATTAGTGACCCGGCAGCTGCATGTCCGTTACTAGGGAAAAATGTGTGCGTTGCCAGAATCGCAGCGGCATGTGTGACGGTTCGCCTGGCGTCCGCTGCTCTTACTGCATCGGATCCAAGCAGGGATGTTCATTCTCTAGTAAGTGTCTCTTCTTCATTCTGATCTTTGTTACTGACACCGATTATTGTTTTTAGAGAAGGCCGAGCCTAAGCTGAAGGCGAAGCCATTGGCTCGAGTCCGGACTGCACTTCCGCATGGTGCTGCGCCGACCAAGAAGGTGCGGACTGGTTCCATGAGTTCGGCTCGGCCGACCATCGTTACTACCGCCAACGATGTGGTTTCTTCAGAGGGTGAGTCCAAGGTAGAAATAGAGGTGGAGATCGTCGAAGAGAAGGGGAAGAAGCAGGCTGAGGAAGATACTGAGGCTGAGGTGGAGGAGGTAGAAGAATTTGTCCGCAGATCAACGACCATCCCACCATGTCCCGTTAGGCCGATTCCGAAGAGGCCAGTGCCGGCGCCAAAACGCAAACTGGACCTTGGAGAGCGAGAGGAGTTGGATGCGCTTCGCACCGAGGTGAAGGATCTCTGGG